TACCTATATATATATTGATACCTCTCTCTCTCTCTCTCTCTCTCTATATATATAGAGGTATCAATTGAACACAATGTTTTATTGATATACTTACAATTTTAAAGCAGTCTGGAAGCCTACCAGTGCCTCAATCACTATAGTAAAATAGATTATAAGTACCTATACATTTTGGTTTTTGATTTTGTTTTTATCATGGAAAAATCAGAGCTCCCCCTGCCCCCTTCACTCACCAGGATGTGGGTCCAGGCCCCCCCTCAGCCCTGCTGATGCCCCTCACTCCCCACCCCAGCCTCCTGTCCTCCTCAACCCTCCCAGAGCAGGCCCTCAGCTGCCAGGGCTATGAGGCCACAGCCCCCTGCGGCAGTGCCCAAGCCCTGGCTACTGCCAAAAGGGAGGCAGCAGCCACTGTGGCCTGAGTGCAGAGCCCAGCTCCCCGTCCCCTGTGGGTACCACAGCCGGAGCGGAGCCTTGGCGGGGGGGCAGGAAGGAGGGGAAAGAGGCAAGTGTGGGCTGCCCACTGTGGGTTGTGGGGGTGGAGAGGGGGCTGGCTTCCTGCCACCGTGCGCACCTCTGTGACCACCAAGGCTGTCCCAGGGGAGGAGGGGGCGGGTGGTGAATCAGGGCAACCGCCCCAGGCCCTGCGCTTTGGGGGGTGTCGTGGAGCCGGGTGGACCCGTGCAGTGGCTCCCCACTGCCACTGGCCTCACATCCATCTGCTTGCCACCTCTCCCTCCCCTCTGCCGCCGGCTTCCTTGCGTCCAGGGGCAGGGCCCCACACAGGCTGATTTTCCCCGGGCCCTGCACCCTGCTTGGGTCGTCTCTGCTGACCACCCTCCTGCCACTCCCCCCAGCCCCTCGCAGGCTGGAACTCTGCTGCCTGCAGAGAGCTTTTTGCAAAATAGCAAAATCTATTTGAAATAAGAAATCCATATTTTTCTCAGGTAAAAGGAAAAATCCACATTTTTTTCTCTTTTTTTATGGGAAACAGAAAACCCAGATCCCTAGAAGTCCCTTTATAGATTTCAAATTACTTTAAAAATCCCACAATCACCAATTAAGCCTTGATGCAGGATCTGCATGCTGTACCTACATAAAGGGGGCACACACCGCTCTCATACGTGGGTAAGAAGGAAACACACCAATGCAGTGATGCCAGATTCAGTTTCATGGGAACAGAGGAGACTGAATCAGAGAACAAAATTTACTGTCGGAAACCAAGACAAGTGACATTTGTGACAATGATGATTCCCTTTTGCATCCACCTTGTCTACAGGATTGTGCACTTATCAGCTAGTTTGGACACTATTTCTATGCACTGCACCAAGGGCAAGAAAGGAACGCACATTTTTGATTACACAATCACCTTTAAACCTGACAGCAGTGGACCATCTATAACTAACTGCTGCTCACCTCTTCAGAAGCAGGTATCACACTCAATTAATTTGCTTGATAGTTCAGCTGCAAGAAGCAACATGCCATGCTCCTGTTTTACTCTCGCCCACATGCACTGTGGCCATGATTCTGAAACCTTGGCACTATGGGCCACAACACAGACCTGGAAAACTAAAGCTCTCAAAAGGGAATAAAGAGTTGCATTTCTTTCTTACCAGTACTGCTGTCACACTATGGATCCGAATATTGCAACAAGTGTGGTAGGTATCCAGAACACACCCTTCCTTCAGCTACCAGAGCTCCCACTTCCACCAAAGCATTTATACTGGCCAGACAAACCAAGTTAGAACCCTTCCAGAAATAATACCATATGTTCTTGCATACAAATGCACACCTTTCCCAAAAACAAGCACCTGGAAATTGGAGTGTGCATTACCTGTGAGAAATATGGTAAGAGCAGGTTTTGCCAGCTTAAAGTTAAAACTGATAATAAAATCTGCAGCAATCCACAAGGAGCAGAATAATAAGCAGGCTCAGCTCCCGAGCTGCTGTGACTGTTACTTACCACAACAAAAGATGTGTATTATATTCCAGAGTTTTGTATGCAAGAAGATACAGTAGCTAAGTACAACTAACAGGCACAGTTCAGATCCCAGGTCAGAATGGCTACGGCAATTCTATGGAAAAGCCCTGGTATTCAGAGGGAAGTGGACAGGAAAAGGTGACCGCAGCACAAAGAAAGGAAAAGACCTGTTCTCATAACCAAGTCAAAAAACATCTCTCTGCTCAGTGGCTGTTCAGAGTCGACTTTGTTTCATTCAAACGAAGATTTTGCCGCCCACTGGTGTCTCTGTACCGAAGTCTGTATGCCTTTGCCACCGTGACGCTAGCTGTAATATCAATTTCAGTGGTACCACTAAGACTAACCCAACAATTCTCAACCTTCTTAGACTCAAGGCACCCCTCATTAGACTCAAGATGCATTTGGAAAAATCCCAGCTTTTAGTTTTCACTTGTTTTTCACCCTCTGGCAGCCTTGAAAGCATCACAAGGTACCCCAATATGCCACAACATCCTGGTTGAGAATCAATGGACTAAGCCAATAGTCAGTTCCCACCCCTGCGCCTACCCCAGAAGTGAAATGGAGAAAGCATGGTAATCTTACAGGGCAGCTCCAGGCCAGGGTGCACAGTGGTGTTTTTGACCATTGGAGGAGAATGGCGTCCATCATCCATGTCTTGCTCTGTACACTGAGCTTCCCCATGGATCACTGCTAATCCCAGTCGCAGTCTCTCGGCATAAGACTGGGCCCTGTGTGAAGGCAAAAGCGCAAGTGGAGGATACGAGGTTTGTTCAATTTTTTTTGATCACATGGAATGACCCTTCC